CAGGGGTGGCCCAGGCAAAATGAAAGGCTTGGGGTTCCATGGCATTCAAAAATGCAGCTGGACCCATGGCCTGCTTTCCAGCCTAGGGTCTGAATTCTGTCCCATGTTTTGGGTTCTGTTGTGTTCTTGACTCTGTCCCATGTTCTGAACTGTCAGTATTTTGAGTTTTATTCCTTGTTCTAAGCTCTTGTTTGTAGCTACATGTTTTTCATATTCTTGGTCCTAAGCTATCATGTTCTAGACCTTGGCCATTAAGTCCTGTGTTCTAGGGTCTCTTGTCCTAGTTTGGGGTTCTGGTCCACATATTGGACCCTGCTCCATTTTGTGACTTTTATTCTTTTTTTTTTTTTTTTTTTTTTTGAGGTGGAGTCTTGCTCTGTCGCCCAGGCTGGAGTGCAGTGGCCGAATTTCGGCTCACTAAAACCTCTGCCTCCCGGGTTCAAGCGATTCTCCTGCATCAGCCTCCCGAGTAGCTGGGAGAACAGGCACACGTCACCACACGCAGCTAATTTTTGTATTTTTAGTAGAGACGGGTTTTCACCATGTTGGCCAGGATGCTCTCAATCTTCTGACCTCGTGATCCACCCGCCTTGGCCTCCGAAAGTGCTGGGATTACAGACATGAGCCACTGTGCCTGGCCTTGGTGACTTTTATTCTATGTCCTATGTCTGGGTCCTCTGTCCCGAATTTTCCCTCAAATTCTAAGCCACATTTTATGTTCTGTTAATATGTCCTGGGCTCTACCATGCCTTGGTTTTATATATCTGGGGCTGTGTTCTGGGTCTTGCCCCTCATCCTGTGCTCATCAAGTAGTCTAGGCCTCACAAGTGTCTCTACTATAGGAAATGTGGTCCTCTTTACAGCTCTGCTTTGTTTCAGTAACTCTCTGTCCTGGTATGGTGAAGAATCCTACATCCAGAGCATGGAGCCAGGGGCTAAGGTAGTGACTTGGGCCACAGAGCATTGGGAGGTCCCAAGTGAAAGACCAAGGGTGGGATTGGACTGAGCAGAGGTCATCAAGGATGAAGGCAGGGTGTTTGTATTGTGGCACCTGCCACCTTACTCCATCCCTATTCCTGTCCCTTCTCCCAACCCATCAGTGCTTTGCAGTTCGCTCTCTGGGCTGGGTAGAAGTACCTGAAGAGGACCTGGCACCGGGGAAGAGCAGTATTGCAGTCAATAACTGCATCCAGCAGCTGGCCCAGACCCGCAGCCAGAGCCAGCCCCCAGATGGTGCCTGGGGTGAGGTAAGTTGGCTGGGCCCCACAGTGGGTTTTGCCCAGTGCCCAGCAGAGGTAGTTGTCCCTGAATTGCCTATTTCCCATGGCAGTGACCTTTATCTGAGCTCTGGACTGAGCTCTGTCCTTGGCAGGGCCAGAACATGCTGATGATCCTGAAGAAGGATGCCATGAGCCTGGTGAATCCCCTGGACCACAGTCTGATCCACTGCCAGCCTCTGGTGCACATCCGTGTGTGGGGCGTGGGGAGCTCCAAGGGTCGGTGAGGATGCCTACATTCCCCCAAGCGAGAGCTACTTCTCCCTCCCTACTGCAGGCTGTGATCCCCACTGATGCTGATCCCCAGTACTTGAACCCCTGGACACAGATCCTCTGATGTGGACCCACGACTGCCTCCCCTGCCTGGTCCAGCCCTGGTTGGGGAGGGTGGGCCCAGCTCAGCAGGGACAGATGGGGGAGAGCCCAAGAGGCTGGGCTGATTCCCTTCTGTGCTCCCACATGCTTCCGGAACAGTGACAGGTGAGTGAAAACCAGGTAACCTGAGCCCCATCCCTGACCTCCCTACTCCATCTCTGCCATATCCGTAGCCTGACTTTCCAGCCTCCTGCAGGCTCCTTCCTCTAACCAGCCTCTACCCCAGCCCCATCTCTGCCCCTGCTAGGGACTTCGCTTTTGTGGCAAGTGACAAAGACAGCTGTATGCTCAAGTGCCATGTATTTCGCTGTGATGTTCCTGCCAAGGCCATTGCCAGTGTCCTACATGGGCTTTGTGCCCAGGTAAGGGTCGGGGTGGGGCAGGGAATGTGGGTAAGGGATTGGGTCTGAAGCTTCCAAGGTAGTTGGAGGGGTATTGGCCCTTTTACCCTAATTTCCCTCTCTCCCTATGGGTCATGCTGGCTTCATTGTGTTTTAGATCTTGTCAGAGCGAGTAGGGGTCAGTGGTGATGCCTCTTGCTGCTCCCCAGATCCTATCTCCCCTGAAGACCTGCCACGACAAGGTATGGGGAGGGGAGTCCTGCATTGCTGCATCAGGCTGCTTTGGTGCTGCTTTGTGGATGGGTGATTTCTGGTTATTTAGTACTTCTGTGGATAAATTTCTGAGGTGTCTGGTCTCAGGGATCCCAAGCCGTGAGCTGGAGGAGCATCTATGAGTCTTTCTTCTAACAGCACCAGCTTTGACCTGAGTCCTGGCCCCATCAGAAGGGTGGGGAAAAGGGTAATTGAGAGAGCTGCCAGGCCAACTTTATGTTTATATTTCAGTGGAGTTGCTGGATGCGGTGAGCCAGGCTGCTCAGAAGTATGAGGCACTGTACATGGGGACACTGCCAGTCACCAAAGCCATGGGTGAGGACTGAGGGGGCTGCATATGGTGGGCTGTGTAAAGCAAGGGGAAGGTGAATGAGCTGGGGCTCACTACCATTTCTCAGAGTCCTCCCATGGCCTTGTTATGGCCTGGAATGTACCAGCCTTCCCAATTCGGAATTCTAAGCCTTGCCCCAGCTATCCTGTTCCCATATCTCTGAATCCGAAGTCAGTGAGAGGGGCCTAGACACTCCCTGCAGACTCTTTCTTTCTTTACAACTGGGAGACATGCTGGGCATGTTCCCCTAGGCATGGATGTGCTGAACGAGGCCATTGGTGCCCTCACTGCCAGGGGGGACCGGAATGCCTGGGTCCCCACCACGCTCAGTGTGTCTGACTCTCTCATGACTGCATACCCCGTTCAGGTACCAGAAGAGGGTGAAGTTGGGGGCTTTGGAGGGGTGAGCAGGGATGCTGAGGGGTCACTGCTTGCTGCCAGAAAAGTTCAGTGGGTCTGGCCAGTGCTTGGCCCTCTAGTGACTAGGCCTGGTGTGGGCAGGCAGAGGCCAGTACAGAGGAGGAGCCATTGTGGCAGTGCCCTGTGCGCCTTGTGACATTTATTGGTGTTGGCCGCGACCCACACACCTTTGGCCTCATCGCTGACCTGGGCCGTCAGAGCTTCCAGTGCGCAGCCTTCTGGTGCCAGCCCCATGCAGGGGGACTCTCCGAAGCTGTGCAGGCTGCCTGTATGGTGAGTCAGGGGTGGGAATGGGTGGGTGGGATTGCCCTGCAGCTGCTCTCCACTATTTACTGGGGCTCAGGGTCGGCAGCCTCTTCAGAGATCATAAACCTGGGCTGATTCTGGTTCATTAATGTTTGGGCCCTCATGCTGTTTTTAGTAAGTTTTAATTAGTTGCCAATACTTACAGGACAGGACATTTCACATAATAATCACTATCTTCTTTTTGCTAAAATATCAAGAGCTCTGGCACTTGGTTCACACGTATAAATGTCAGCATGCAGCCAGAATTGTGCAGAAGCTGTGCTCTAAAGAGTAGACATTGTTGATCCTGTTTGTCTTATTTATTTCCTGGCACCTGTGGGCATTTGAGTGTGGGTTGCTTACACTTTGTTAGTTCAGTTCACTCATGCATTCAACAAATTTGAGTGCTTACAGGGTCCCAGGCACCATAGATGACCCTGAGGATTTAGTGCTATAAAGGGCACAGTCCTTGCCTTCACAAAACACTTAGGATAGAGCCAAGATAGACCAGAAATAAGTTGTACACGACTGGTTGACGGAAGAGGTGGCCCTTTTAGGGGTCAGGAAGGTTACCTGTAAGAGCTGATAGAAAACCGAGAGTCCAAGAAGGAAGTTAGCCAGCTGAAAGGGAGTGGAGCAGGTGTGCCAAGCACGGGAGCCTTCGCTGTGAAGGTGAGAGATATTGGTGGATGAGAGTATCTGAAAGAATCTAGTGTATCTGGCATGCAAGGGGGATGTAGTGAGAGATGAGATCAGAGAGAATGACAGAAGCCAGGTTATGGGGAACCTCACAGGTCAGGGTGATGAGTTCATCTGGAGGCACTAGGAATCATTGACGCTGGACAGTGAAGTCAGGTTTATGAATTAGGATGACCACTTAAGCTATAATATGGCTAAAAGCTTTGGAGGACACAAGAGAGGAGGTAGGAAGGATAATTAGGATACCTTTGAACCTTTCAGATGAGATGACTGGGGGCAGTTGCATTGAGGCTGGAGTTTGAGTTGTATACCCTTACCCTTGACTAGGGAATCTGCTTTGCCAGGGACTAGTCCACACCAGTGAGAGATGGAAAAGAGGCAGCACAGTGGTACATGTAATTGGGAGTTCAGGCTCTGCAATCAGAAAGAACTAGGTTGAATGCCATTTCTGCCTTTCTCTGGCTGTGTGACCTTGGGCAAGTCATATAGTCTCTGAATCTCAATTTCCTCATTTGCAAAACAGGGATAACACTTCATAAATAACTGAATTATACAAAGCACTTAGCAGTGTCCAGCCCTCCTTAAGTGCTTGATACACGTTTTATGATTTTTGAGCTACCTGGAATGCTCTAGAAACTTCACATGTAGCCAGCTACCAACCTTGTTATCAGATAGAAGATTTGGCCAGTACTCTGTCCAGCAGAAGATTTCTGGGAGTCTAGGGGCAGAAAGTAGCTGGATCCTCAAATTCCCCTTCTCTCTAGGTTCAGTACCAGAAGTGTCTTGTGGCCTCTGCAGCTCGAGGCAAGGCCTGGGGTGCCCAGGCCCGTGCCCGCCTGCGGCTCAAGCGGACCAGCTCCATGGATTCCCCAGGAGGACCTCTGCCCCTCCCCCTGCTCAAAGGAGGGGTTGGCAGTGCAGGGGCAACCCCTCGAAAGCGGGGTGTCTTCTCTTTCCTTGATGCCTTCCGGCTGAAACCCTCTCTGCTCCATATGCCCTAAACTTACCTGGGAAGGCTGGGGAAGGAGGCTCTGGGTCCATGCCTAACACTGTACCCCGTTATTCCCCAAGGCCTATAGCCTGTCACCCCTTGGAGCCTTCTCTGCCTGTCCCTCTGATCCTTGTCCACCGTCTATTTATTGCCCGATTTATTGTTTATATGGATCACTGGGAGGCATTGCCCCACAACCTAGGACCCTGGCTCCCCTTTCCTTGGGTCCTTGTGTTCCTTGCCCGTCCAACCCTGGACAATTGGCTCTACCTCAGTAACACTTTATAGCAAAATCAGTGCAAATAAAAATCCCTCAGTGACCTCACTGGGTATGAGTATATTGGGCCTGGGACAGGGCTGGGGGCTAACAGCCTGTGTGAGATCAGTGTCTTTGTGTCTGTGCTTGATATTGGTGGCTCTCTGTAGTCACATGACAGTATGGGTGTGATGGAGATCTGACTTCATTCATTCAACAAACATATTTTTTTAAGCACTTCTCTGTGCCAGGCACTAAGCTAGGCACTGGGGATGTAATAAAATAGAGTCCCACCTTCTGAGACTGTCAGGGAGATGAACAAGAATCAAGACAGATGTGATGTAATTCAACTAGGAAATTTCAGAGGGTTGTAGGGTTGTGGGAGCTCAAGTGAGACACTTAACCTGGCCTAAGACATTCCAGAAGGCCTCCTGAAGAACTGACATCTGAGCTAAGTACTGAAGGAAGCTGAGTACTAGTTAGTGAGGCTACAAGACGTGAATATGTAGATTGTGAAGGGCAATGCACAGAGGAGGCTGTAGAAGTCAACCTTGCTAGATCACAGTGGGGCGTATGTGGGAGCGTCTGGTTGTTTGAACTTGCTCCAGAGAGGATGAAGGCTTCTAGAGCGCTGGCTCCTGGACAACAACCTCTGGTGCCTTGTGACCAGGGCCCCAATACATTAGATAGAGCCTTCGAGTCTTGGGGAGTTTGGCGCAGGGTCCCCACGGCGGCTCCCGCCGGTTGTGAACGACCATCCACTCTCAAGAGCTCCAAGCAATCGCGTGGCCAGGACACGGCTCACCCGGCCCTTGTGAGCGGTCGCCCCGGAAATGACGCGCTGCCCTGCTGGCCAAGCGGAAGTGGAGATGGCGGAGCTGTACGTGAAGCCGGGTGAGCACGGCCGGCGGGCTAGGGCGCTAGGTCCTCGCCCCGGCCTAGGCTAGGGGAGGTGGCGGCGCGGGGTATGGACCCTCTGTTTCCCATCCCCAATATAAGCTAACGGTGGAGTTCTGGGCTCGCTTCATACATCCCTCGCTTCCTTAGGCAACAAGGAGCGCGGTTGGAACGACCCGCCGCAATTCTCATACGGGCTGCAGACCCAGGCCGGCGGACCCCGGCGCACGCTACTCACCAAGAGGGTCGCTGCACCCCAGGATGGATCCCCCAGAGGTGCGTGGGGCCCCTGTGCTCGAAGACCGGCGGAGAATGGGCAGTGTAAGGGATAAGCCTGTCCGCAAGACTTTTTTCTGTTCCCCGAGGACTCCTTAAGTTAAGGAGAGAGGTTTTGGGGTTCCAGTAAGGGTCTCAGGGCAGGTGCTTTTCCGAGCCGCTTCTCTGCTGCTTAGATTACTAAATGGTATATTGATTTAAAAAGACTATATTTTCATCCTAGGTGATCTCATCCAGACCCTGTGGCTTTTAATATAGTTTTTATCCTCAAGTTATTTTGTTAACCTGTATCTCTTACCAGAAGCTCATAGTAGCATATCAATTTGTTCATTCCTTTTTCACTTGGGTATATGATAATCGTCTCAGACTTCACAGCGATTCATTTATTTAATCACTATTATTTACTGAGCACTTAACTATGAGTCAGGGATGGTTTAAGGGCCAACTAGGCAGCAGTGACTAAAACATAAGATCTCTGCTTTCAGGGAGTACACGTTGTAGCACTGGAGATGGACTGAAAGATGAAATAGTGGTGAGGGTGTAGAGAGAAGTAAGCAGTGATGTAATATGACTGGGTAAGTAGGTGTCTGAGGGGCTGACATTTAAGCCACACAAAGATCATGTACAAGAGCATTCCAAGCAAAAGAAACAGCTGCAACAGGAACAAGTTTGGCCAATTCAGAGACTGATAGAGTGGCTGGCTACAGCATTGTGGGCTTTGTACACCAGGATAAGGAGTTTGTATTTTAATCTACATAAAGTTGGAAGCCATTGAAAAGATTAAAGTAGAGGAGAGCCACCTTTTCCCCCGAGAATTTTCCAGGCCATTAAATGGACTGTGCTGTGGCCCCAAGAAAGGGACTCAGGTTTGGTTCTTTCAGTTGCCCTCCATTCTCCACACCCTTTTTGCTGTAGAATGATGATACAGGGCTTGGTTTTTTTGTTTGTTTGTTTGTTTTTGAGACAGAGTCTCACTCTGTGGCCCAGGCTGGAGTACAGTCGGGTGATCTTGGCTCCCTGTATCCTCCGCCTCCCCAGTTCAAGGGATTCCCTGCCTCAGCCTCCTGTGTAACTGGGATTACAGGCATGCGCCACCACACCCGTCTAATTTTTGTATTTTTAGTAGAGACGGGGTTTCACCAGGTTGGACAGGCTGGTCTTGATCTTCTGACCTCTTGATCCACCCACCTCAGCCTCCCAAAGTGCTGGGAATACATGTGTGAGCTGAGCCACCGCACCCGGCCCAAGGCTTTGTTTCTTAAACTCAGCAGTATTGATAGGTTGTGGCCAGATAATTCTTTGTGAGGGACTCTCCTGTGTGTTATAGAATGTTTATCGGCAACTCTGACTTCCACCAATAGATGTCAGTAGCATCCACCCAGTTGTGACAGCCAAAAGTGTTTCCAGACATTTGATATGTGGGCACTATCTTCCTAGCTTGAGAACCAGGGACTGATTTACATTCTGGAAAGATCACTGTGTCTGCTCTGTGAAGACAAGATTTTAGGGGAGTGGAAAGACAAATTACAGCTATTATGGTAATATAGGCAAGATTTAATGATTTGCCTAAGGGTGTTAGGAGTTGAATGGATATGAGATGGAGAAAGTCAGTAGGAATGAGTAGATATATGAGGAGCCCATATAACCAAAATGTTTTGCTTGATATAGGAAGACTGGGGGATAGTGGTTTTTGGGAGAGGGGAGTTTTTTTTGGGTGGGGTGCTCTGCTAAGTTAGGCTATTATTTTTGGGGAAAGGTCTAGGCCAGAATTAGAGAAATAAGTCACCATTATGGGGATGGTATTTGATGTCATGGGCTTGAATAAGGCCAGGGACAGAGCCCTAGGGCTTTCTAGCATTTCAAGATTGAGTAGAGAAGGAATAAGCAAAGGAGACTGAGAAATGGCCAAAGAAGAAAACAGGAGAGGCCAGGTGCGGTGGGTCATGCCTGTAATCCTAGCACTTTGGGAGGCCAAAGCGGGCAGATCACCTGAGGTCAGAAGTTCAAGACCAACATGGCAAAAATGTCTCTACTAAAAATACAAAAATTAGCTGTGTGTGGTGGTAGGCGCCTGTAATCCCAGCTACTTGGGAGGCTGAGGCAGAGAATCTCTTAAACCTGGGAGGTTGAGGTTGCAGTGAGCTGACATTGTGCCACTGCACTCCAGCCTTGGCAACAGAGCGAGATTCCATCTCAAAAACAAAACCAAAACCAAAATTAAAAAAAAAGAAAATAAGAGAGTGTAAAGTCATGAATCAATAGTGATGAATGCTGCTGAGACATCAAGATAGAGACAAGGAACCACTAGATTTTAAAAACATAGCAGTCACTAGTGATCGTAAGAGCAGTCTCTACAGTAGTGAGAACAGAAACTTAGCTGGAATGGGCTAAGAAGAGAATGTGAAAAGTAGAGTGACTATAAACAGCTCTCTCAAATTCTGCTGTGAAGTGAATATAAGAAATGGGACAGTATCTGAAAATGGAATGTGAAGTAAGGGAGTGTTTTGATAGTAATATACTAGAGCATGTTTGTATGCTGATGGGATGATTCAGGAGAGAGGGAGAACTGATGATGTAAGAGAAGAGAGAGAATTACAGTAGGGAAGTCTAGAGAAGACGAGAGGCTAGGATGCAGGGTACAGGTGGAAAGATGGCTTTTGATAGGAGCAGGAACCTTTTCATCTATTACTAGAAGAAGAAAAGTGGCCACAAATGCAGGTGGGTTAGGAGGACTGGTGGTGTGAAGATGAGAGTTTCTGTTTAATGACCTGTACTTTCTTGGTGCAACATCAGGCAGTGTCAGAAGTAGATAGCAGGGAAAGGAAGATAAATTCTGAAGAGTGGAAAAAATGAGGCAAAATATCCAGTCAGTGTTTGGTGCCTTTTAAAATCTGGTAAAACCATGCTGATAATAAAGTATCGGCATGTTTCTGTTTTTCCTCCCAAGTGCAGGCAAGTTGGGTTTAATCAGGAAAGTGGGACAATGGGAGGAGATAAAGGAGATAAGAATATTTATAAGGGAGTGATTTTAATGTACATTGAAATCAAAGTAGGTGAGCTGGAAGGGGTAGGAAGGGATGATCAGATTTTGGAGGTGACAGTGTTGTAAACAAGGCAGGGGGATGAGAGGCTGACGTAGGGTGGGAAAAAATGATAACTGGAGGTTAAGAGGTCAACTGAAATGACAAATTACTAAATGAATTAGTCATCCTTGTGGCTACTGATACCTAAAAGTAAATTTTTGACTTTTCTCCTCCGGTCTTCTTTCTGTCAGTGGCTCCCATTACTAAAGTCAGAAACTAAGAGTCAACTTGACTTCTCTCTTCCTCACTCCCAATCCACTCCTGTTGCTACTTCCTCCTAAGTAAATCTCAGACTACTACATTCACCTCATCTACTCTTTTACCCTAGTCCACGCTAGCATCATCTCCTTCCTGGACTACTCAACCTCATAACTGGTGTTCCTGCCACCATTGTTGACCTGTTTCCATCAGTTTTTCACAGAGCAGGCGTGTGTAAAAATAAGTCTGGTTACATCGTCCCTTGCTTTTATAAACCTGCAGTGGCTTCCCAGTATCACTGACTCAAGACCAAACTCTCCTAAAGTCCTGCTGGGTCTGGACCCCCTGCTTACCTCTCTAGTGATAGCTCATACTACTTCAGTGATAATTTTTAGCCTTACAGGCCTCATTTCTGTCTCTTGAATATTCAAGTCAAGACTTTTCCTGCTTCTTGGGCACTGCTCTCACCTCTACCTAGTACCTGCTCCTTCAGCTCTCTCTCTTTTTTTTTTTTTTTTAAAGACAAGAGTCGTGAACTGTTGCCCAGGCTGGAGTGCAGTGGCATGAGTTCTGTTCACTGCAATCTTTACCTTCTAGGTTCAAGCAATTCTCCTGCCTCAGCCTCCCAAGTAGCTGGGATTACAGGCTCCCAACACCGCGCCCGGCTTTTTAAAATTTTTAGTAGATACAGGGCTTCACTATGTTGCCCAGGCTGGTCTTGAACTCCTGACCTCGTGATCTGCTCACCTCAGCCTCCCAAAAGTGCTGGATTACAAGTGTGAGCCACTACACCTGGCTCCTTCAACTCTTCATAGCTGCATCTATCCCATCCATTAGTTCTTAATTTAATAAAAACAGCTCGGTTTGTACTTTTTGCTACATACTAGTCTAGCAGCTCTATTTTTTTTTTTTTTTTTGGTAAGAGACAGGATCTTACTGTGTTGCTCAGGCTGCTCTCAAACTCTTGGGCTCAAGCTGTCCTCCTGCCTCATCCTCCCAATTTGCTGGGATTAGAGGCATGTGTCACCACACTCAACCTGTACCTATATTCTGAATCTTCACTGCAACCCTGTAAAATAAGTGGCATTGTATACATCCCCATTTTAAAGAAGAGGAGCCCAAGCTCTGGTTGAAAGTAACTTGCTGAAAGTCACATAGCAAGTGAGCTCAGAAAAACTTAAATGTACCTTACTTCCTTGAACACTTAGTCTAGATAGGTTCTCCCATTTTTATTACATAAACCATTTTCTTTGTAGCATGTAACATAATTTGGTAATTTTCTTGTGTTTTTTTCCTCCCTCTAGAATTAAACTCTCTAAGGTCAGGAAATTAATCTGTCTGGTTTACTTCCTCCTGAGTAGCCAGGACTACTGGTGTGTGTCACCACACTTGGATAATTTTTCATTTTTTTTGTAGAGACGAGATCTCCTTATATTGCCCAGGTTGGTCTTGAACTCCTGAGCTCAGGCAATCCTCCTACCTTGGCCTCTCAAAGTGTTAGTGTTACAGGCGTGAGCCACTGCAACCAGGCCTGGTTTACTATTCTAATCTTTTAGTGCGTAGCACATTGTCTGGCATAGAGTGGGTACTTCATAAATGTGTATTTTTGAAGGAATAAGTTGTCTCAGAGAGTAGGCCTTCTTAAGAGTTAAGCTTCTTACCCATTTAAGCCATGTTGCTTGATCCTGCTGTACCTTTTCAGTCCCCGCCTCAGAGACTTCTCCTGGGCCTCCCCCAATGGGGCCTCCACCTCCTTCAAGTAATCCCACGTCTCCACTTGTGGGGAGTGGTCCTGCCTCTGGTGTGGAGCCCACAAGTTTCCCAGTTGAGTCTGAGGCTCTGATGGAAGATGTGCTGAGACCTTTGGAACAGGCATTGGAAGATTGCCGTGGCCACACAAAGGTAAGCCCTAGCACATCAGAGGTTAGAGAGGGCTCCCATTCACAGCCAAATCCAGAATGGCTCCCAGAGATAGACCCTCTGACCCAAAGGACAATGGCTCCTAATCCTTTGAGAGTTATGGACTCCTTCAGAATCTGCTAAGGCCTTCTCAGTGAAATAAACACAGGATTTCAGGAGCATTAACAAGACTTTTGAAGACCAATCAGTAGAAGGTGCTGTGGGAACGAGTTGAATTCAGCTCCTATTAGTGAACAACCTGATTTTCTGTATGTCCATGCCATTCAGAGCAGATGCTGCTGATTTTGTGCTTAGGAAATTTATATTGTGCCCAGTTAGGGAGAAATAAACCTCTTCTAGGTACAGTGTTTTCTTAGTTCTTAGAAAAAGAGATCTGAAGAATGTCAAAAGAAAGGGAAAGTACCATGGCAATTTCACCTTTTTGGCTCTTAGTTTTCTTATTTGTGAAGTAACACTATAGGATGAGCTTCTGAGAGTCTGAGAAGCCCCTAAAATTTTAAAATTCTAGTCACAGGAGGAGATCCATAGGTTTCATCAGCTTTTCAGTGGGGTCTCTAATCTTTGGGTAAAGAACCAGAGCTCTAAAGACTAAAGTGTGGGTCAGAGAAAGCAGGTGCTTCCTGTATGGTGCTGCCTTTCCCTCTCCTCCCCTTATTGGGCTGGCAGCACTGAATTGGAGGCCATCTCTTAGAAACAGGTATGTGATGACATCAGCCGACGCCTGGCACTGCTGCAGGAACGGTGGGCTGGAGGAAAGTTGTCAATACCTGTAAAGAAGAGAATGGCTCTACTGGTGCAAGGTATGGGTGGGTTCTTTGGTATAGCCTAAATCCCTTGTCCTGCTGTGGTTGGCTGTGCTGGAGCAGGTGCTGAGATTATGATCAACGGGAGGGGAGGCATGGAAGCTCGTTTACCCCAGGCTGCTTGCTTAACCCCCATCTGTCTTCAGAGCTTTCAACCCACCAGTGGGATGCAGCAGATGACATCCACCGCTCACTCATGGTTGACCATGTGACTGAGGTCAGTCAGTGGATGGTAGGAGTTAAAAGATTAATTGCGGAAAAGAGGAGTCTGTTTTCAGAGGAGGCAGCCAATGAAGAGAAATCTGCAGCCACAGCTGAGGAGAACCAGACCATACCAGGCTTCCAGCAGGCGCCATAACCATCAGTTCCCCGGACTCACCTGATACCATCTCCTACGCCTTGGAGGCCTTCTCTTACTTGGCTCCCTCTTACCAACGAGACTGTCCCACTGGGCCTGACCCACCTATGAGGGAAAAGGTCCCACCTGGGCCAGAGGGAGTTCATGTGTTACTCATAACATGCATTTCAATAAAAACATCTCAGTGGTGGGTCTTGGATAGATGAACACTTCCTAGGCCAAGCTAGTCCCCTCTGGTGTCCTCGACTGCGCTGCTCCCTGTGCATCTGCAAATTACTGTTTTCCCTTCTCCATTCATCAGGAAGGGATCTGCTGGGTACAACCAGACTACTGCCTACCACTTTTTCCCAAGTTAGACTAAAAGCACATCCTGTGCTGGGCAGAACAGCTCTGTCTTTGGATGGTTTCATTTCAGCATGAGAACGTACTCAAATAGAACAGGGAGATTTTCCCCTCAACAAAAGGAAAGTCCTGTTTGCACTGTATCACCCTTGAGATATAGGTGCTACAGAGATTAGAATCACATTGAGTGGGGTTTTTGCTGTATAAATTGAAGGAAAGAAATACCAGATTACTGAAATTTAGGATTGTAACTGACCACAAGCTGCTGCCTCATTTTGGGCTTCAGTGTGAAAGAGCTCTAAGGTCTCCTAGAGGTGCTTGGTGGATTCTCATGCTGTGAGAAGGGAGGGTACGAGGTTTTTGGTGTTGGAATGGAGAAACTGGTACTTAGAGATGGGAGGCAGAAAAGGCATGGGGAGAGGCTGGGACAGCACCTCTTTTCCAAGAGTCCTGCTTTGGAATGGATAGGGGAGGGGCTGCTGGGGAGGCCTGGTTCCAGGAAGGCTGCTTCCTAGAAAGACAGGAACAGCCCTTGGCAGGGGCCAGGCTATTGCTGTTTGTGGTTTGGAGGCTTATGTAACCTGCCACTGTAGTCTCTAATTGTCACTGGAAGTGGGCCTGGTGGGAGCTGGGAATGGACCTGGGCCCTCTGAACTTGACCAGACCTGCCAGGGCCCTCAGCTGTGTGGCTGAGATGAGAAAATCAACATTGAGGAGAACACTGGAGCCAAGGCATTTCTTTGAATGTTTACTAAGCAGCCAGAAGGTGACCTACTCCATTCCCCATTTCCAGCCCCTGAATATAGATGGTTTAGGGCTGGGAGAAGTACCCACAGACCGAAGCGGAAGTAGAGTTAAGGGCTTGGCAAGTTGCCCACTCCTATCCCTGGTCTATGCCTCAGAACTAAAGAGGCCTGGAACTAACAAGTCACTTCCTTCCAGATTAGATGAGGCCAGCTGGCCTTTGGATGCCCCAGGAAGAGGTGGTGGCAGCAGGGATTCCTCCGTAACTCCACACATGGGGTCATCTGCACTGGATTAGATGTCCATTTCAAATTGTGCGTCATCTGGAGAGAGAAAAGGCAGGAGGACTGGTTGCTGGTCTGAGGATCTGCAGGCTCAGCATCAGTGCAGAAACCCCTCTTGGAATTGAACCCCCACAGTGTGTCACGGGGGCATTTGAAAATATTTCAAAGGCTGCGACGATTCTTAATTCCTGCTTTCCTTACCGGGTATCTCTTCCTCTGTCTCCTTCTGTTCCTTTAGCTCCTCCAGCTTGGAGGGTGGGGCTGTTGGAGGAGTTGTGACCGCGGGAATCTGAGGGAGGCAGCAGGGGGGTGTCCGGGCAATGGGTGAGTTCTTGCACTCCAGCAGGAACTTTCGGTCGTAGATGATCCTGGTGCCTGTCAAGGGGTTGGGACTGAGGTAAGAATCAGGAGCTTGGGTACAGAGGTGATGGGTCCCAGACTCAGGCCTTTTGGGGCCTGGAGGTGAGGGGGGTGTTGAACTTTCTTGTGTATCAAAGGACATCTGCTCTGAAGCCCAGCTAGGTTCTCAGCAGACAAGCCTTCATAGTGCTTAAAATCTTCCACGCCTAACCAAGATGTGGTTTGTATAAAGCAAGTGGGGCACCCCAGCTGGTACAGCAGGGGCTTTATGTTTGAGGGAGCTTCAGATCTTGGCTGGAACACTAAACTTGGAGTTTATGCTGCTCCTCTACCACTTCATGCTGCTCCTCTACCACTCTGGAACCTCCTTGCTTTGGTTCACAAGGTGAGACCTAGACCAGCAGCCTCAGGTGGTTCAAGAAGTGGGTTGTGAAGGGTTCCACCCAGTGCTGTCACCTGGGCTATCTCCTGCAGGAAGGAGGAACATAACTGTTCTAATCCTGACCCCTCACAGGTCCTATAAGGCTCATACTAGCTCAGAGGAACTTGGCCCACATAATGTCCTCGAAAGTCCCTGCCCTGTTCCTCCCCTCTGCTTCATAGTGGCAGGAATCTCTGGGTCGGGAGCCCAGCAGCTTGTGATCCCAGGCTGCTCGCCCACCAACCAACCAGACGCCACCCAGCAGCACATAAACGGAGCAACGGCCCCAAATGTTCTAGCCACTCCACTTCTCAAGACCCAGTGCTTCCGGCTGAAGTCACTCTGGGTTGGGGACCGCTGCAAAGTCACAAGGGGTGGGAGCGTATGTAAGACGCCAAGAACCCAGGCCACAGTGAAGGATTACAGCCCAAACACTCGGAGCTAGGCTCTTGGCCTTGCTGCATCACTTACAAGTTTTTGGGAACTGAGCTGCCGCTCCAATCTCCCCCTAAGCTGCAACCTGTAGAGAGGCCTACAGACGAGTCCTAGGCCCTAGGCCCGTACCTCCCTTACCCTCGCCCCTCAACAACACGTGTCTGCAGTCTGCAGACCCCTGCCCGGCTCGCTGACCTCCCGGGGTAGTGGCATATAGCGTGCCCCCCGGCGTGGTACTGTAGCAGTCGGGCAGCTGGTCCCGTCCGGGCAGCTAGTGGACGTTGACATAGCGAGCGGGAGGAGCAGCAACGTAACCGCCCGGCGTTGAGGTCGAGGAGCTCACCTCTGACTCTGAGGCGGACTCAGCCGACCACGTGCAGCCGCTGGCAACACCACTAGGCCAACGTCACGCCCAGGGCGGGCCACCGGCCCGTCACTCAACCCGACGGTCCCGCCCTAACTGCTAGGAAGCCAGCCCGGTTCAGAGAAAGCTGGAAATGCGTCCGAAGTCCCAGGCCCGGCATTGGCTTCCAGTTCCTGCTCGCCAACCTGCCTCTGAGTGCTGCAGCAGCTCAGCTATTTACTGTTTATAGCTGGGAGCTGGGGGCAGGTGAAGTAGGGCAAGAGTTTTTATCCTGTATTAGTTAACCCATTCCTCGCAATAGTTTTGGAATAGTAAAGCACTGTGACTAGCCAAAGTCACACATCTTGTAGGAAGAGAAACTGGGATTCAAACCTGACTGCATCTGATTCCAGGACTGTGCTCTTTAGCCCAGTTGTGTACTGCTTTTTTTTTTTTTTTTTTTTTTTTTTTTTTTTTTTGTGTTTTTTTTTTTTTTTTTTTTTTTTTTTTTTTTTCTTTTTTGAGACGGAGTTTCGCTCTTGATACCCAGGCTAGAGTGCAATGGCGCGATCTCGGCTCACCGCAACCTCCGCCTCCTGGGTTCAAGCAATTCTCCTGCCTCAGCCTCCCGAGTAGCTGGGACTACAGGCGCGCGCCACCATGCCCAGCTAATTTTTGTATTTTTTGTTGACCAGGATGGTCTGGATCTCTTGACCTCGTGATCCACCCGCCTCGGCCTCCCAAAGTGCTGGTATTATATTATATATTCTCAAACTTTTATGTGCGTATAAATCATCCGGAGATATTGTTAAAATGAGAATTCTGATACAGTATTGATCTGGGGTGAGATTTTTTTTTTTTTTGAGACAAGATCTCACTGTCACCCAGGCTGTAGTGTAGTGGTACATCATGGCTCACTGCACCCTTGACCTCCTGGGCTCAGGTGACCCTCCCACTTCAGTGTCCTGAATAGCTGGGACTACAGGTGCATGCCGCCGTACCTGGATAATTTTTAAATTTTTTTGTAAAGATGGGGGTTCTCACTGTGTTGCCCAGGCTGGTCTCAAACTCCTGGGCTCAAGCGATCCTCCCACCTTGGCCTCCCAAAGTGTTGGGATTATAGGTATGAGCCACTGAGCCCAGCCAATTGTGCGCTTTTTTTCTTTTTTGAGACAGAGTTTCATTCTTCTTGCCCAGGCTGGAGTGCAATGGCATGATCTTGGCTCATGGCAACCTCCGCCTCCTGTGTTCAAGTGATTCTCCTGCCTCAGCCTCCCAAGTAGCTGGGATTACAGGCATGAACCACCACACCCAGCTAATTTTGTATTTTTAGTAGAGACAGAGTTTCTGCATATTGGTCAGGCTGGTCTTGAACTCCTGACCTCAGGTGATCTACCCACCATGACCTCCCAAAATGCTAGGATTACAGGCATGAGCCACTGCACCCAGCCAATTTTTGTGGGTTGTTTTTTTCTTTTTCTGAGATGGAGTCTTGCCCTGTCATCCAGTCTAGAGTGCAGCGGCACAATCTTGGCTCACTGCAACCTCTGCCTCCTGGGGTCAAGTGATTCTCCTGCCTCAACCTCCCAAGTAGCTGGGATTACAGGTACCCACCATCACACCCGGCTATTTTTTTGTATTTTTAGTAGAGACAGAGTTTCACTATCTTGGCCAAGTTGGTCTTGAACTCCTGACCTCAAGTGATCTGCCCGCTTCGGCCTCCCAAAGTGCGGAATTACAGGCATGAGCCACTAGTCCTGGCTGCAATTGTGAATTTTTAATACAATAATGCAAATGCTTCAGGGCCTCAGAAACACACTTCAGGTAGCAAGGGTATGTATATTTTATTGTTCCCCAAAGGTTTTCTAGCATCTTAAAAAGTGGTGCATGCCAAAATGAAGTCTTAGCAGTGCTGGAGGGTAAAGCTTGGGAGCAGACTGTAGTGAATCATTTATGATAACTCACCTTTTATGCAAGGTGAGGAAGTGCCTGACAGGGGGAATGGGAGAAAAGGGTGGAGGATGATGAGATTTGAGGGTGGAGACTCCAGCCTAGTGAAACCAGGTGGGCAAAAGGCTGGTGGCTGTGAGGATGGAGAGAAGTGGATGAGATTCAGATACACAGAGGAAGAATAAAGTGACTGATTAAGAGTGGGGTGAGGAAAAGTGAGTTAAACTAGAATAATTCTCAGTCTTTTGGCTTGAGAGTCTTGGTGGCTAGTAGCACCAACTAATATGATATCTTATATGAGGGAATGAATATGAATCCAGATGAAGCACAGCAGGAAGCTAGATATACTAGTCTGAAGCCATGGGGAGAACTCTGAATTAGTGGCTCAAATTTGGGTGGTGTGAAATTCAAGAGTGTGGGGGTGGGCTAGGATCGGTGGCTCACACCTGTAATTCCAGCATTTTGGGAGGCCGAGGTGGGAGGACTGCTTGAGCCCCAGAATTCAAGA